TTTTTTTGAGTGTATACACTGTATAGCGAATATGACAACACACACACACACACACACACACACACACACACACACACACACACACACACACACAGAGCTGGTGTTTTTTTTGTTTTTTTTTTCCCGCGCATGTGCACGTGCACCACTCTCTCGCGCATGGCGCACAGCGCACCGCGCCGCAACTATGCTTTTAACATACCGAGTACGGCCAACTGGCCGAGCTCAGGGCATACTCGCACTAGCACGTACAATCGCACATTATATGTGGGCCAATTTGTGATTATACGGCACTTCCCAGTCACACAGCACACCCGTATACGTCACAAAACAGAAAGGACACAGTTTTGACCTCCTCTAGGAATGCGATTATACGGTCCGAGGGTTCACACAGCATGATGCATAAAAATCCATCCCTTTTTCCTGTTTTTTTTTGTTTTTTCTTGCAAGAGCTGCCCACCAAACGTCGAATTCTTTTCTTTTGTTTCCAGAAAGAAACAGGTCTAAAAGAAATACGCAATTGCAGTGAACTCCAGAGGGTCTCGCAAAATACGTAACCCCGTGGCTGTCCAAGCCGCTGACATTTGTGTGCTCATTTGCATTTTTTTCACATAAAATGCGTAGCCCTTGTGAGAAGTTGTGACCCAAAAATCACCTGCAATTTACGATTTTATGAAAATGCATGCTAGTGTGAGTATTGAAAGGCCTTCCACAATTCAGACCCCAAATTCGGGTCTCAGGGTCAGAGGCCCTGGCCAAGAAAGGCCGAGCTAGTCAATTTCAGAAAAGTCACAGTCGGGTTCCTCAGCAGTCCAGTCCAACAGGCATCCAGCAAACATTCACATCTTAGGGGCAAGAATCACGTCTCATAATGAAAAGTCATATTGAAGACTCACATCCCACGAGTAAAAGGGCAACTCCACAGGCAGGAGTCATGACCCAGAGGCGGGAGTCACAGTCCACAGTCAAAACCATATGCCAAAAGGACAGTCAAATCAAAAAGTCATGACTCGAAAGTCCCAAGCAGCAGCAGACCCATGGAAATTCGGGAAGGTTCTAGGCCTTGACATTCGAAAGCAGACAGGCCGTGGGGATGTGGTACCGGGACCCAGTCAGGCCCAAAGGAGCAGAGGCTGGCTCGAGTTGAAGTGCAATCCAAGACTACAAAAGTACTGGCCAGCCTCCTCATTGGGCAGATTGTGCATTCGCATGAAGTGTGGAAGTGCTGGTGCACTTGTGCGCTATTGTGAGGAGCTGAGCGCTGAAGCCAGAGTGCTGCGCTGAGAGAGGAGAGATAGCGCTGGCAGAGGGAAGGCAGCCATAGCTGCGCCAGTGCAGGGTGTTAGTAGTAGACTTCAGAGGGTTAGTAGGCATGTCAGTGGGTGCATTTAGAGTAGGTGCTTGAGTAGTAGATGTGTGAGTGCATGCAGGTAGGGAGAGAAGACACAGAGAGGTGGTAGACAGAGAGAAGAACAAGATAGAGAGAGAAGACCGAAGAGATTTGGAAGAGAGACATACCTGAGTGGAGATTTGGATACTTGGGTTTGCGCTGCTGAGCGCCTGTGACCGAAACTCCTAAATTGTTTACAATACTTTATATGATAATTTGTTGGAATTCTGAGCTGCGCTACATCTTCTTCATCTCTCTGGTCTCCAGTGTGAATCTCGTGTGATCTCATACATGCATGTGGTGTGATTGTGTGCGCTCAATGATGTTGAACTAAGAGGCTCGTTGCAGTATGCCCTCAGTCGGTAACACTTAACAGAACCCCGTTCGAATCCCAAGAATCAGAATAACTCTGAATTGGGAAAACTGCGTCTGTACCCTGTTTAAAGATGGGAATTCCCTTTATATCCTGGAAATGGCGTTAAGAAATTCTATCGATGCGCGGGTCCAAGGCCGGCCAAGGTTGGTATCGCCGAATTGCACATATACCAAACTAGCGGGATGCTCAACCTGAGCAAATTATGTGCAAACCCATTAAGTTGTACAACATTTGGGTATAGATGCAAGTTGGCCGCTGGGACTGGATACGAAGGGAATTCGCATTATTAAGTGGGGTATGGATGCAATTTTCCCCGCCGAATTTACCTGGTGGATCAAAGCAGGCCACAGAGCATCACCCACCTCTCTTGCATTGTGCCGTCAGCCTATGTATTACCATCCAGTCCACATAGTATGACCCAATGCACATAGTAAGTACGCTGCACCCACACCGCTGTCCACATGGTACTGCACAAGCCACCCAACCCACGTGCTACCAACTAGCGGTGCCGTGGAGTGCATAATTTCTATGCCAAAGATAAGGGCACATACACCAGGGAAAAAACAGCGGGCAGAAACACTATCTTCAGTGTCCCGGGTTGTGTGCTCGGCCTCTTGCCCTGCCACCGCATGCTCTCCCTCTCTCCCTACATATTATGTCGCATGTTCTGTTCCAATCTGGTGCACCCGCCACACGCCTTATGACTTGTACTTTTAACGGAATGAGAAGTTGCGAATGAGAAAGGAAAACATATCTCGAAGAGCTCCTTCTGTGGAGAGGTCTCATTGTGTGCAGCGCATGATGTTTGATGAATTCTGGGACATCCGATGTGCTGAGATTATTCCGGAGCATGATCAATTGGTGTATATTTTGTGCTGGAATCTCATCCTCCTGTTGAAATTCCCCTGCTGTCCTGCTTTTGTGGATAGGGTGTCGCCAGGGAATGAAAATCTTTGCAATGATGAAGTGGCAGGTCGACGCAAATGCCCGCCCGGAACAGACATGCCTCCTGGTGCAAGCACGCGTGTTGCAGGGCAAGAATCAGGCTCGTCAACCAATCAAAGGACATTAGTGGCCATTGTGGTTTCAATTGTTGTGGCTTGCGCTATACTGGGAACCCTGGCATGGTGGTGCTTCCATGTTCGACACAACCTGAATTTCACGCCCTTCCTCAGAGGTTACTCAAAAACTGGAAGGGCTCCACAGAGTGGTAAGGCATATATATCTTGTTGTTGTTGCTGGCAGGGCGGATGGAATGCTTTTGTACTGTCTTTTTTCCTTTTTAGGGGGTAGACCATAACATTACTGTATTGATCTGATTCTGTCAGGCATCAAACCCATGACTCATTTACCAACAGTTACACGTGCATAGCCCCTAACATTACTGTATCCATCTGATTCTATCAGGAGTCAAAGTCTCAAACTCATGATATGTTTACCAACCCTTACATGTGTGTACCATTCAGGCACATGGGGTGGGTGGAATACCTCTATCTGTGATATTTAGCGGAAAGAGGAAAGCAATTGGAGAGAAGATCCTTGAGGACCTTACCGCTGGCCCCAAAGTTGCATTCGTGATTTCTGATTAAGCATATTTAAACCACCAGTACTTCCGAGCCCCTTTTGCCCAGGGCTCCAAACACCCTGCGTGCCAAAAAAAAGAGTCGGCTCGGGCCTTTTTTTGGCTGGCGCCGCCAGCCATTTTGCTCCGGCTGCCAACCCCCGAAAGTTGCGGCAGCATACAAGGCGTGTTGGAGAAAAATGGCTGGGAAATGTACTGGTGGCTTAAAGGACTTTCTATCTTCCATCTCACACCAATTGCCATGTATAATTTTTCTTCTTATAATGAGGCATTAGCCCTCCGTGTTCTGCATCAACCAGGCCACGGATTCATAACCTGCTGATTCTCTAGTTCAATGGATGGCCCATTCAGCAAACATCAAGCCACCATTCACAATCAAAATTCTTGGCTGCTGCGGAGTTGGTCTCTTGTACATCTGTGTACTGATCAGTTCCTGTTTGTTGATCATTCCATGCACTGCTGTCCTGAAAGACGTTTACAATGGAAGATATGTGTTGCGCATCATTAGAGTGTCCAAAGATGTTCCGCATGCTATGTTGGATCGTCAACTTGGATGTTATATGCTGTGGATCATTGGTGTTGTCCAAGGATGTTGCCCGATGCTCCACCTGAGAAAAAAATTACAGATGAAATCATCAAAACGCCTTTGCAACTTAATCCATGGAAGTACACAGCCCCGCTGAAAGTTGCTTTCGGGAGTAGAATGCATGGGCCTTATGCTGCAGAGCCCCAGCGGACCTTAGATGACTATACAATACCAGGAAAAATGGGAGACCTTTTTTAGCTTATAAATTCCTCAGTCCCAGGATGCAAAAGAAGATTGCCTAGTTTCTTGTTTGAACTATATCCTCATGAGTTGCGTGTTGTCTTGACAGACTCATCTTCCAAGGTGTTGCACCTTTCATATTCTTGAGCAGAGCTTTTTAATTCCGTTCAGGATAACACATATCAACACAAGGGGCTGCCTGTTTTTTTTTTTAATCCGTTTATTTTTTTCCTGGCCCTATCTTCTAGGAAGAAGGGAAGGAAAAACGTTCACAATATGTTTTCACCACTGTTTGAGCTCTGGGCACCATAGAGTTATCAGCTTGTGAAGCTGTCTACCTCTGAGCTAACAGCTAACGACAAGGTCTTTCCTCCAGGATCTTCAGAGGCACGCCGTTTCAAGACAAAGGAACTTCAAGTGATCACAGCGAACTGGAACAGAGTGATTGGTCGTGGAGGCTTTGGCCCAGTTTACCTTGGCATTCTTAGCGACAACACCAAAGTTGCCATTAAGAAATTGTACGCACAGAGCTCACAAGGAGCATTGGAATTCGTCAGTGAGGTGAGCTCAGGTGCCTTTCAACGCCCTGAAGGTGGGGGATTTTTTTTTTTTTTTTTTTTTTTTTTTAAAAAAAACAGAACCTTAGGGTTTTGGCTCCTTTTCCATTCTGGGGAGCATCAGTCCGGTTCCTACTCCACTGGCAAGTCAGAAGAATTACAATGAGCAACTCATCCATTCTTCTCCCCCTTAGAGTGGGAAGGCGCAAAGGACAGCATTGCTTACTGCCGGAAGGAAGGATGTGCCACCCTTCACCCCTGCCTAACTTAGCCTGGTCTATTTGTTTCTAAATTTGTTGCTAGTCTGTCCTTCCTGTAACTTGGTGTTTGTAGCTTGCCTTCATGGGACCTGTCCAGCCTGTTCCTCTCAGTTGCTCGACTTCAATTTTCCTTTTCTGCTAGAACCACTGAAATGGCCTGGTGCGGGAGTGTTTGCTAACCCTTAACCCTGACTAGGTAATTGTCAACTTTGCTAAAACCCTAAACCTTAACCAACCTTTCCGATTTAAGACTTCCTTTGCCTGGTGTGGTCTCTAAGCCGGGCCAGTAAAGCTTCTAGGGGTTTCTCTCCTACCCTTAATGGTTATATCCCCTGACTTCTTTAGATAACCTTACACCTTCGAGGGGACCTACCTGTATACCCTGGCTTTCCTCGTCTCTGCTGTCCCGCTGTGTTGGGGTTGAGGAGAGGGGTGTGAGGTGAGGGCTGGGTTTTGTGTTCGTGCTGTGTGAGGGGGTTACTTCTCTGGATGTGTTATTATGCTTTGGAATGAGGTGGGAGAGTTGTAGAGGGGGGGCATAGTGCTGTGGTGAGATGCTGGATTCCGGCGCTGGATTTCTCTTAGTTGAGGGTTTATTGAAAATGTCAGAGCTCCAATGCTGTTGTTCTTATGAGTGGGTGTTAGGTTCTGCTGTCTTGTTTTCTGTGTTTGACATCCGTCTTTTGTTATTGTTATTTTATATTTTGTAGGCCAGGGAAGTTATTCAATCTGCTTATTGTTGGTCTAGCTAAAACCCTAAACCCTAATGAATGTAGTTCTTTGGCAGAGCTGCTATCTATTAATCCTAGAGTTGGTATTCTCAGTTGCAAGGTAATTTTTCTAAAGCACTCTACGCCCTTTTTTTTTTTTTTTTTTTTTTTTTTTT